CCTCTGGACACTCCTGGGGTAGGTGAGCAGTCTTACATGATAAATCCACTGTAACATTCTAATCTCCCTATAAAAATGGTGTGGGGGGTGGTGTCTGACCTCCTCTAACTTCACAAGGGGAAAGAAGAAGCAAGATCAACAGCACAAGGCTGACTCCCATGAGGTGGAGGCCAGACAAGCCTCCTTTCTTTGCCATCTTTGACACCAACCATCCCTCCCACAGCACTCTCTACTGGGTTCGATAGTTCATTGCAATGGCCACACAAAAGTCACAGACCATACTTATGATTATGGGGTTCATTAGGGAAGTAACAGTTACAGTTCAGTCTCAGGAACACTCAGGATACAGTTCTTCCATCAGGACAGCCTCTCCCCAGCTGCGCTCATAGACATGCCTCCCCCGGCCCTTGAACTCTGCCAAAGGGCACTCAGCTTTCTCTCTCTGTGGACCAGGAAGCCCATCATGCCGTCTCCTGCTGCTAGGTCTCTCTTGTCACCGCTTCTCATCATCCTCAAGGTTATAGCTCACTTTCTTTCTCGGTCTCCTTCTTCCAGGAGCTTTCAGTGCAGGGATCCCAGGTCCAACAGATGCACTCTCCGCTCCTGGCTATTCTTCCTTGATGGTGGTAGGATTCTTCTCTCTGCTCAGGAATTGTCTCTCTTTTAAGGCAAAACTGACCAATCCCCTTGGATTACCCTGTTACACAGTCCAGTCCAATCACCTTGGCAAGAGTTATTAAGACCATGACTAGAAAAGCCACACAAAAGTAATCCATCACGCTGCACTCACTAAAGCTTTGTATAATTTTTTCTACTAAAGCAGTTCTGACATTTCAATTTCAGTTCATATAGGTCACATTTTGGTCCATGTTTTAGCTAACCAAATAAACAAACAGAGGGATTTCTAATCCCTTGAGCTGAAACATTGAATTCAAAATCTCTGCTTAGTGGGCCCATATCAGTCACTTCAACCTGATTCAACTTTATGTTCCTTCCACTATTATCCTACACCCTTAATATCCATACCCGCACATATTACCCAGATTTTATCTTATAAATTAGAAAAATCACTTAGTTCCTTTGGAGTGTAGTGTACTTCCTCATGAGTCACACTTTGCCCCTCACCTTTCTGGGCCTACTGGGACTTGAGTCTAGTTATTAGTCTAGAAGCAAAGAGGGGCTATAGGACGGGCCCTGAGGACAATCAGCAGTTTCTTTCAAGGTATCTGCCTCAGGGAAGGTCATTACAGTTGCCCCAGGCAAAGCAGAGTGAATTTCCTTAGACAGGAATGGAAGAGCTTCTTCTCCTGGAAAAGTAGACTACTCTGCAGAATTTAGAGTTTCAATGTCCACCAACTTCTTCAGGATCTGCCCATATGCCCTCATTCCAATTTTCAGGATTCCATTCCTTTCTAATCAGTGCCCTCACTTAAACATCAGACCCCATGTAAGGCTGAGAATTTAATTGGTGTTGTAATTCCGTCACTTGTGAGATGATACTGGTTTTCAGCAATCTAGATTTGTGGCTACAAGACTTAAAGTTTTTGTGTGTTTTTTTTTTCAGGGCACACGTATAAGCTTTCAGGTCATTTATGTGGTGCTTGAGCTGGAAATTTGTAGTCCTGAACTCAACTTTTTATTTCTCTATTTTGTCCAACAAAATTAGAAGCAGACAGCCAATGTTATTATACTCATTAGTTTAACAAAAATATTCTAAGGTATCAAATACATGATCACCCAGAACCTTGTTTCTTATAAGTATTTTATTAGGAGTCACCTAAGGCCTAATGATCTACTCCAAAATATCAGCCATTGAAAATCCTATGGAGTACACTTCTGCTCTGATGCACATGGGTTCTCCATGAGTCAGAAGCAACTCGATGGCAACCAACAACAGCAATCCAATACTGATATTTTGCAAATCTCTATTGCCACATCACAGCGTGGACTACTAGTGCCCACTTTACTGCTGGAAATAGAGTCTTTCGCGCGTTTAAATCTAGTCAGATTCAAGACCCAGTTGAAGAAGCCCCAGAAACAATTCAGAAACTCATTCTTAAGATCCTGTTCCTCTGGTACCCCTGTCAGTACCAAAGTATATTAGTCAGGAGTCTCCGGAGAAACCAGCCATAAGACTTATCCATATCTCATTCCTGCTAAAGCCTTTTGAACCATATCATCCCACAAATAATGAAGCAATAATTTTAGTCTGGAGAGACCTTCGAGCATGATGTGGAATTTAAGCTGCTCCCTAAAGTGTTGATCTGTTTAGCTGGGTGGAGGAGAGGAAGATAATATTCTAGGATGGAGAAATAGTTTCCAGATTCTATACTCACTGAGTTTCAATTATTTGCCAAGCACTATACTAGGGGTTAGGAAACAAAATAATGCACCCTCGACATTGAGCTCATCCCAGGGGCCATGGACTCCGAGTCAACTTATACATTGTGGGAGGCTACCGTCAAGATGTGCATAAAGCATTATTAGAGAAGATGACCAGAGATCTCAACTCAAAAAAGAAGGCTCTTGGAGGGGGTGACATCTTAACAGCATCTTGAAAGATTAAAGATTTCTCTAGGCAGAGAAGATGTGTGAAGGGTTCAAAAGCAGAGGGAGCATCATGAGACTATGTCTGGGCATGTGGGAAAAGAGAAAATATGAACTGTGTATGCAGAAACACAGCTTGGAGCCTGTAACTTGTGCTCACTTCAGCCTTGAGAGGCCAGTGGTAGGAGTTGTGCTGCTTGATGCCCAGTGACTTAAGCTGCATCTAAGCTGAAGCTGCTAAGACCCACAGAGGCAGCCCCTTCTGGCCTGGCCACGTCCTTGACAGTCCCTCAGCAGATTTTGAATCTGCCTAGCTGGTCTTATTGGTGAATGTAGAGTACCTAAGGCTCAGATATGGGTCCCTCTACTAGAGCTTAGGTAGAGACTGTGGAGACACTGTCCCTGGCACATATGACTGAAGGTGCAAAGACAGTCAAGAAAGATTTAAGCTTCATGCAAACATAAAATACTCAACAAATTTAGTATGAGTAACTTTGAAAGAGAACACTTGGGGAAATAAAGAGACAGTTGTTCACTTTGGGAAGGAAAATAAAAATATTAGAGAAAATTTCAGTAATAAAAAAAAAATGCATCTATTGCCTTTTCACTGTGTATTAGTTATTTATTGTTGCATAACAAGTTACCCCAAAACTTAGCAGCTTAAAACAACAAACATTTATTATCTGACACAGTTTCTGAGAGTCAGGAATCTGGGAACAGCTTATCTAGTGATTCTGACTCAAAGCTTCTCCTGAAGTTGCAGACTCCTGGGCTGCCATCATCTGAAGCCTTTATTGGAGCTAGAGGATCTGCTTCCAAGCTCATTAATGTGGCTGTTGGCAGGAGGCTTCACATCTTCACCGCATGGCTCTCTCTATAGGTCTGCTCACAACATGGCAGCTGGTTTCCCCCAGAGTGAGTGATTCAAGAGGCAGACAGAGAGAGAGCCCAAGACAGAAACCACAGCATATTTTATAACCTAATTACAGAAGTGGCATGCCATCACTTCTGCCATATTCTATTGGTCACCCAGACAAACTCTGGTACAATGTGGGAGGTGACAAATCAGGTATGAATACCAAGAGACAGGAATCATTGACAGTCATCTTGGAAACTGACTCTCATACCTTGGAATCTCCAGGTCAAAATATAGGACTTTTTTTTTTCCTGTAAATTCCATACACATGAGACTCCAGCCATACTAACCCATCACATCCTCTTTCTCAGTCGCTTTGCTAAGATCTGTTTTCTGAACTCTGCTGCTGCAGATCAGAGCAGAAGAGCTCAATTCAATTTGAATTTCACTCTGGGAAAGTGGGAGGTGAGGCCAATCAGAAACATGATGTCCACTCTGCTTACCTCAGGATTAATTTATTTTTTATTATTGTTATACAAGTACTCTATCTTCATTGTAGAAAATACAGATAAATGAAAGAAAAATCGTCTATAATAACACCACCCCAACATTGCTAAAATTTAAATATACCCTTCCAGACTTTTCTTTATGTAGAAATCTATAGATAGGAGCTTTTCTTTTTTTAACTGAAATTTAATTAAATAATATGTTGTTACCTTATAACACGCTCTTCTCACGTAAGGTGACATGAGCATCTTTCCATGAGAATACAGACAAGCATCTGGGATTTTAATTGTACTTTGGGCTTCAAGAATGTATCTTCTGTCTTCTAAGCTGGAGCCATTTCCTCTGGCACCACCACCCTCTCATGCCCATGGCTAGAGGATAAAGTCCAGTATCTCCTTGGCAAAGATGGAAAAAGGATGTGATGGCAGCAGAATTAAAGGGAAGGGGCTGGACTGATGACCCACCCTCCGTCTCCTGCACAATGATGAATGACAGAACCTCTGTGGGGACCTGTTGGCAACAGGGCTCAACTATAGACAGGCTCGCTTATAGGGTTCTGGGCTCTGTGTATACCATTACAAAAAGCAACATTTGCCGTAGAGTCTCCTACTCATGGCCACCCTATGTGTGTCAGAATAGAACTGTGTTCATAGGGTTTTCAATGGCTGATTTTTTGGAAGTAGATCACCCATCGTTTCTTCCCAGGTGCCGCTAGGTAGACTCGAACCTCTAACTTTTCAGTTAGCAGCCAAGCACATTAACCATTTGCGCCACCCAGGGACTCCAAGTTACTATTAAGTATAAACAATTCCCACCATTCCCCCCACCCTGGCCCTTGGAGATTCTGTTGTGTTACTCCCGGTTCATCCCATGTGGTTTTCACAAGATTCCACAGCAGGGAAGGAAACTGTGGATGGAGCCCCAAATCTCAGGAGAATTTACCTAAACTAGGGAGCAGAGGTGGGAGCATGGCCCTATGCCCAGTCAGAGGTGGGGGCAGTGACAGCAGAGGGGGAGTGGTGGCCATGGGTCTCCTCCTCCAGCCCCTGCCCAAGCTGGCCTTGCCCAGGGAGTTGTGGGACACACTGCCCTAGTCACACGGCTGGAAGTAGAAGTCTGTAATGGGGGCATCCCAGCCGACATACTCAGGGAGCTTGGTGAGTCTCAGGGGCTGGTCTGCTTCAGGCACAGTGCAGATGAACCAGCCCGGGTAGGCAGCCGACTCGAAGCTGGAGGTGAGCCCCGTGTCCCTCCTGTAGAAGGTGAAACTCCTGGACTCTTCAGCACTGAGGTAGAGCTCCATGATGTTCACTGGCTATTGGCAGAGGGGCAACATAAGTGAGGGGCAGGGATAGTGGAGCAGAGCCGTGCAGAGGGACTGGGCAGTGTTCGAGAGGGGAGGCAGAGCTACAACTAACCAAATCCCGCAAGGCATTCTCTAGGGAGGCTCTTCAGCTGCAAGACATATGGCCTAAGTGGGCTCAGTGCCTGTTGATTTAGTCGCCAGATGGGGAGGATGTCCCGACAGGACTCACCTCTAGTTTCAGAGTTGGTTCTTTTCCCGTCCCACACGACAGGCACTGGCTCCCTCCTTGGATGCCCAGGATGACTGGCGAAAGCCTGGTGTCCAGCGACCGATTGGGGACAACACTAATCTCCTCACCTACAGGAAGGAGGCCGGATGTGGGGATCTTGGCTACCCTTGCCTCCCCTCTTCCCAGCCCTGAATTTTGGGGAGCAGGACCGGTGTGAGAAATCCTGTCCTAGGCTAGGCAGAACGAAAGTCTCGTAGCATCCATCCTGTTGTGTCAGGCCTGGGGAAGGGGATTTCTTGCCAGCTAGTCCAGAATGAACATAGAGGCCCACAAGCACACTGTAGCTGCTCCTAGTCCATCCCCTTGTTTAGGATAAAATCTTCCTCACCTTGCAGGCCCTGCTTAAGTCTTCTTTAACCCCCGACACCTTTTTAATGTACTACAGCTCTCTCCCCTCTTTTCTGCTCCTTGCCTTGTTCAGCCTCCCGTTACAATTGTTTGGACATCTTTCTGCCTTCCTGTGAGATTCCTGAGGCCAGAGGAGGGTCTCATCCATCGCTCTACCACCACTCCCCCCAGCTACACACAGCCTAGCATCAGTGTGCATCAGTGCCAGGTGAGAGTGTCATAGGTGAGCAGGGGTACCCCATTCTAGAAAGTAGTCACTGTCACAGTGTGGGGGGCAGAGTAAGCACAAGGCCAGGAGGTACCACCACTCTCTGTGTCCCAATATTCTGAGAAACCAAGAACCCTCAGAGGGTAGAGGGGAGCCAGGATGGAGGGGCAGAAACCCACCCCTATGTGTGTATAAGGACATAGAGAACCTGACTGCAGGCCTCAGCACTGGCTCCCTGGGAAATGGCTGCTCATGACCAAAGTCCGCCTACCCTGGATTGCCAAAACATTCCTCTGGGAAGATGCTCCCACCTCTGCACTGAAACCCGTGTCCTCACTTTCTTATTCTTGCTCAGAGCCTGCTTCGGTGATGCCAAGTCTAATGCATCAGGCCCGGGGCCCACAGCCCTGTGCTCATTTGCATGAGGATTCTAAGCCCTCTTCAGCCCCTCCCCTTAGAGTGTGCAGAGACCTAGGGCAGTAGGGTTGTTTTGTGCCACCAACCTTTAATGACCTTCCCAGCATGCAGCCCTCCGGCCAGAAGCTGGTTCTCATGCACGTAGAGCACCTTCAGTGACGCATCCTTCATTCTGAAACATCACAATTGGGTGAGACTGTTGTGGGGACTGGCACTCCCATTTCTGGGCTCCAGAGAGTCATCCAATCTCAGGCATTTTGTCTCTCTCTCCTCCCTCTCAGTCTTCTCTCCTAGCCCTGCTGGGATCGAACTTTACCAACAGGACCCATCCCACAGCCTCCCATCTGAGACTAGGGTTTGCTTCTTTATCCTATTCAGTCTTTTCTATACCAACCAATCACCTCGGTGTGTTATGTTGGAGAAGAAACTGGATCAAGAGTCAGAGACCTGGGTTCTCGTTGCAATTCTGCCACCTTTACTGAGTCACAACAGACGGGTCTCTTTCCCACTAAGTCTATAGGTTAGATAATGCCCAGGACTACCTCAGATTAAAACCTGATTCTTATAATTATACTGATGTCATCAAGACATAGAATTCCCTACTAAGTGAGGAATTTCTTCAGATTTAAAATCTTTCATTTTACTTTTCAAAAATTGTCCGTCTATGATCTCAGTTGATTTTCTAGTCTCTTGTGAGGTGAAAGATGTATCCTAAAGTGAGTTTCTCTGGATGTAATATAAAGGAGACAAAAAGCATGCTGTGTACAAATTGGTTCAATGTTCGGTTAAACACAGTTAAGCAAGTCTCTTTACTTCACAATGGCTCAAAGTCACTAATGTGCTGAAATGCACTATAGTTTTTAGTAACGAGCCACAGAAAACAGCATTTCCCACATTATATGACCAAGGAGCTTCATTGCAGAAGACATCTCATAGGACTCGGATTTCATAGAACACACTTTGGGAAATGCTATACTAGACTCAGAGGCCTGGTGGTGAAATGGTTAAGAGCTCAGGCTGCTAACCAAAAGGTCAGCAGTTTGAATTTACCAAGGTTTCCAGGAAACCCTATGGGGCAGTTCTACTCTGTTCTATAGGTTGCTATGACTTGGAATTGACTCGACGGCAATAGGTATACTAGACTCTGAGTTCAGTAAGAACAAGGACAAGTCTCATTCTCTGTTGTAAAATCCAGAGCATCGCAGAGTAACTGGCTCAGTACATGCTAGTGGACAGACAGATTGAGTGACTTGTTTTTTTTAACTGCAAAGGGAATCAAGGAGGCAGTGGCACAGAACATTTGGGCTGACATCAGTTCATCGAGGTGAGTGGCAATAGCAGCGTTCTAAGCCAGTTCTCCTGACTTCCAGATACATTCTCGTTACAGATAGCCTACGCTTCAGCTCTGGGCTGGGTGGTTCACTTGTACCTCCTCAGCATCAAGGAACTCCCAAGAAGTGGCCTACTTCAAGCTGAAGAAGGCAGAAAGGATGTCTCTAAGGCAGGGAGGTGTCACTTACAACTTTCCAGCTACCTGTACCAGCTGTGACAGCCACAACTCAGGACAACTGCAGCCCACTCCTGCCTCACAAGGCTGGATAACAGGTCTACCCAGACTCTCCCCGGAGGACACCACCACGTCAGAGGCTGAATACTCACCGGAAGCACAGCACCCTACTCAGGACCATCTTGAGCTTCACAGTGTATATGTAGATGCCTCTATTTTGAAATAAATAACAGAAAGCCTTAGGGCTGAGCTGCCAGGAGCTGAGTAGCAAGTAGGCTCGCGAGCCTCTGTGCACATAAGCAGCCTGCACACAGCGGGGGATTCTGGGTCTGGTATCAGGAGGCAGCCCAGTGCTGCTGAGAAAGAGGAAACAAAGCTCCCCAAAGGACACCTGAAATCTTCCTTTCTCCTGGCCAGAGTCTGTAATGTCAGCGGCTCCTCTGAGGATGTCTCAGCTCTTTTAAGTATGCATTAAGGAGGGGCCCTGAAACTGCCACAAACTGGGGAGGAGCAGGTCTTTCCAGAGTGATTTCACGCTGCCCTAAAGCCTCCAGAATCACCTGCTGCTCCTTATTTCTCTGAGGAGGGAAACTTTGGAGACAATCTCTTTACAGCAGTTCTGAAGAACTTCCATGGGACTTTCCAGCTCTCCTTGAGCACGCAGCTCCTGGGCCACCAGGTGCTTCCAGACCCAAGGGAGTCAGAACCAATAGCAGCCCAGGGTTTAAACAACTTTTAAAATGACCCCTTTTTCTCCCTCCTTCTTCCTCTCCTACCTTCCCTCCTTCCTGCCCTCTCTCTTTCACCCCTCCCTCCCTTTCTTCTTTACTTTCTTCCTTCTTTCCTTCCTCCCTTTGCCATGTCTATGGGAGATGCTGGAGGTGGAACTCTCCTGCCTAGAAGTTGTTTGGGCTACATATTCATTGTAGAAAAACCTGAAAATCCAGATTAGCTAAAAGAGAAACATGGAGATGTCTTCTGTGAGTGCATGATCAGAAAGCCAATGACAACACTTTTTTCTCTGCTTGTTATTGTTGCTGGTGCCATTGAGTCAGTTCCCACTTATAGTGGCCCTATGTACAACAGAACAAAACACTGTGCAATCCTGCATCATCCTCACAATCATTGCTATGCTTGAGCCCGTTGTTGCAGCCACATGTCAATCCATCTCGCTGAGGTCTTCCTCTCTTTCAATGACCCTCTACTTTACCAAGCATGATGTCCTTTTCTGGGATCTAGTCCCTCTGATAACATGTCCGAAGCATGTGAGACGAAGTCTCATCTCTCTTCTAAAGAGCATTCTGGCTCTACTTCTTCCAAGACAGACCTGTTCATTCTTCTGGCAGTACATGGTATGTTCAATAGTCTTCACCAACACCATAATTCAAAAGTATCAATTCTTCTTCGGTCTTCCTTATTCACTGTCCAGCTTTTGCATGCATATGAGGTGATTGAAAATACGATGGCTTGGGTCAGGTGCACCCTGTCAAAGTAACAGACTGCCAGAAGAACAAACAAATCTGTCTTGGAAGAAGTTCAACAAGAATTCTCATTAGAAGCAAAGATGACAAGACTTGGTCTCACATATTTTGGACTTGTTATCAGGAAGGGTCAGTCCCTGGAGAAGGACATTATGCTTGGTAAGGTAGAGAGTCACTGAAAGAGAGAAGACCCTCAACAAGATGGATTGACACAGTGACTGCAACAATGGGCTCAAGCATAACAACCATTGTGAGGTTGATGCAGGACCAGGCAGTGTTTTGTTCTGTTGTACATAGGGTTGCTATGAGTCAAAACTGACTCAATGACACCTAACAACAACAATGACAATACCTAATTGATGAAATAATATTTGATTGTAAAATAATTCTTGCAGTTTTAATACCTCCATGTACTCTCTGTAATGGATCCTAATTAACGGTAAGGATCTGTGTGTAAAGATCAATTTAATTATGTCTTGACTACCATTGAAAGCTATTTATTGTTAAAGATAAATTTTAAAGAAATAGTATTCAAACGTATAGGTTAAAAAGGATTTAAATTGTTCAAAAATTAATAAAATAAAATATCAAGTTGCTCAAAGGATATAAAATCATTCACATAACGCCATGACTGTGATAAGCACCTTTCAGCAAAATAAAATTAGTGTAGGAGTTACCTTACACAAAATTATTAAATCAACCATAAATTGATCACTGACACAGTTCCAAAAAAAATAAAACAAAAAACCTCCCAAAAGTGGTGACCTATAGGCAAAGTAGTTTTAAGTAAATAGGTTTTTGTTAGTAAGGTAATTATAGGAGAAGTGAATATTGTTTCACCTAAAAAAGCTAAAATGCCATCTCCTTCAGGCTGCCTTTCCTGATTCCCTGACCCCAGTGAATGCACTCATGTGCCCACAGGACACTACTGAGGAGTCTAATAAAGCATTTTCCACTTTCTGCCTAATAAAGGATGATGTCTGTACACAGCCAGAGATGGGGTGAGCTTGCTGAGGGCACCGGGATATCTCTGTAGGCTCTGTCTATTCCGCAATGTGCTTAAATGATGAATGGAAGGAGAGATGCTGAATGAGCTAAGGTGAAAGTTGGGAAATTAAAACAAATCTGTTAAGAAAAAGTCTCCAAACTTGAAAATAAAACAAAATGATGACTCCATAAGCCTTCAATGTCACTCACACTGGGACTTTGTCAAATAGGTCCCACCAACAATTATTTCATTCTCTAGGAAATGTACCTTTGTTTGATGCTACTGACTACTGATTAGGTCCCAGACTGTGAAGTTAGACGTGAACTAAGAGATAAATCGATGAATTGCAACTTATCTCTGATAGAAAAGACAGCCCCAAAGGATGCAGTTTTGTTGCCTTGTAATTTATTAAGCAGTTTTTTGGTCTAACTTAACCAACCTATTTCAGCATTTCTTTCCTGACGGATCATATAAACCTCTGTTCCCTGACCTGTCCTTTGAATCAGCCTTATCACCCTGCTGGTTCCCTCATCTATTAACAATAATAAATCTTTGAGATGTGGTCACTCTATGCTTGTATGAGAGTTTTAAACTTTCTGAAATCAAACTTTGGCACTACCTAAAGATGTTACTTTACCTCTAACTCATATACTATGTGTGGTGGTTTTAAAATATGTCCACAAATTCTTTGATACTCCATCCTTTAAGAAGTGGAGCTTAATTCCGTTCCCCTTGAGGGTGGCCGGACTTAGTAACTTGCCTCCAGTGAACGTTTTATATGGTGGAAGGGATGGTGTGTCACTTCTGAGCATAGATCATAAAAAGCATTGCAGCTTCCTCCCCGTGTTCTCTGGGGTCATTTGTTCCAGGGGAAGCCACCTGCCATGTTGTGAGGACACTCAAGCAGCCCTATGGAGAGAAACTGAGGCCTCCAGTGAGTTCACCTTGTGAGTGAGTCACCTCGGCAGATCCTCCAGTCCCAGTCAAGCCTTCAGATGACTGCAGCCCTGGCTGGCATCTCTGCTGCAACCTCATGAGAAACACTGAACTAGGCCACCCAGCTAAACCACTTAGATTTCTGATTCTCAGAACCTGTGGGAAATTAAAAAAAAAAAAATTGTTTTAAGCTGCTGAGTTTGGGGATAATTTATTACATAGCAATAGATAGCTTACACACCTTGTCTTCACAATCAGCAGTTTATATTCCTATTGTTTTCTGTCTCCAGTCTTCAGTGGTATCCTCCCTTCTCAGGAAACATCTCAATTCTTCATGGGGCTTGGTAAGTCCAGGGAAGTATACCAGAAGCTGTCCCGGCCTTCCGAAGGGCAATGTTCCCAATGGTGACTTCCCACTACCCTTGTGAGAGTTAGTGCCGCTGGAGGTGGGTCTGGCTTCTGCTCTTGCTGTAGAGATGAGACTTAATAATCCACGTACACACATATATTAATATGTAAGCACACAATCACAGTTTATTACAGTAAAACAGTGTTTATTAGGGAGATAAATCTAATCATCATTAAAGTAACCAATTTTCATTTGGTGTTCACTATGTCTCTGGAACTGCCTTTAGAGGTTTGTCTAAATTTTTTCTTTATTTATGCTCATAATTGCTCTATGTGGTAAATACTATTATTACCTTGATTTTTTGGATGTGGAAACTGAGGCATAGAAAAATTAATTAACTTCCTGATATCAGACTGGTAGTTAGTATTTGAACCAGTATTCAAACCTAGGAAACCTGAGTCTAAAACCATTGACCCCTCCGTCAATTCACAACACAGTAGGCAGAGTGATCCTTTTACTACCTAAGTCAGATCATGTCACTTCTCTGCTGTCCATGTCTCTGAGAGTGAGAGCCTAGTCCTCACCATGCCTCCATTTGTGTTGGATTGGACTTCCATTAACTCTTAGCCTAATCTTTTCCCTGCCCCATGCAGTATACTTGAGCCATGTGGACTGTTGCTCTTCCTTGAACTTATCAGGCATGCTCTCGGCTCCGGGCCTTTGCACTGGCTCTTCTCTTTGCCTGAAAAGCTCTTCTCCCAGATATCAGTATGACTCACTCCTTTGCCTCCTTTAAGTCTTTGCTAAAACATCAACTTCTCAGTGAGGCCTATACTCACCACCTTATTCTTCCCTCTTCTGCTTCCATATTGTCTTTACCCTGCTTCATTTCTTTCCACAGCACTCACCTCCTTTTAGTATACTGTGTAATTCACCCATGTATTATATTTATTAGTTATCACCCCTCCCCTTTCCAACCCTGCTAGAAGATAAGCTCACATAGGAGAGGTGTTTGCTGTCTATTTTGCTCAGTGGTATATCCCAAGCACTTAGGGTGGTGCATGGTACACAGTATGCCTTCAGTAAATACTTGTTGAACCAATGTTGAATGAATTGTATACCTCATCACATAAAAAAAGGCCAGAGAATTGTTTAACTTTTTGTTTGTGATTATTATTTTATTCTTCAGAGAGATTTGATGCTTTAGGTCCTTGTTCTCTTAATGTAGCAGTTAAGACAAGGAGTTGGTACCATCTGCTTTCATAAATAAAGTTTTATTGGAACAGTCATGCTCACTCATATTGTCTATGGCTGATTTGGAGCCCTGGTGGCACAGTGGTTAAGAGCTCGGCTGCTAACCAAAAGGTTGGCAGTTCGAATCCACCAGCCACTCCTTGGAAACCCTATGGAGCAATTCTACTCTGTTC